TGCGCGACATTGGCCTCCATAAGACCCAGCTTGATAGCCTTGATGCGGCCATCATTCATGTCACTTGGTGCCACACAGTCCGCGCCCGCGAGCGCATAGTCGACGGCGGTCTGTGCAATGCGTTTCACGGACTCCACCTGGTTGAGGGTTCCGTCTTCGTGCAGGATACCGCAGTGGCCGTGCGAGGTGTATTCGCAGAGGCAGACGTCGGTCATGACGAACATCTGTGGGAAGGCCTTTTTGATGGCTTTGATGGAGCGCACGACGGGGCCATCCGGGTCGGAGGCTTTGGAGCCGGTGGGGTCTTTGGCGGTGGGGGCGAGGGGGACGCCGAAGAGGATGACGGAGGTGAGGCCTTTGGCGACGAGGGGGGCGAGGAAGGGGATTAGTTTGTTGACGCCGCGGCTGGGAGGGGGGAGTCAGTAAATGTAAATAGGTCTTCTGAGGAGTGGTGCATACCGGTATTGGTTTGGGAGGGAGGGAACGAGGGTTTCTTCGTCGTCATTGTCGGTGATAAAGACGGGGTATACGAGCATGGACTGAGCAGTAGCTGGGGTGTTAGAAGTCTGCTTGTATAATTGCCAATTGATTGCGCCCTTTTGATCAATTGAGCTTGCTTACCTTTGTCAATTGACGCTCAGCTTGCCACTTGCGGGAGAGCGGGTGGTGGTAGCCACCCTGGAGAATTGATGAAATGTCTGTCATAGCTTGAGATGAAAGAGAGGAATTAGGAATGGCTAAGAGTGTTTCAAAGACAAGGTCCACGATATCAAGAGATAGAGGTGAAGACGTTGTTTATCGAGCTGCTGACATATGACTGACTTCCCGAGAGCCGCGATCCTGGCAAACAGAATGTGGGGTGACCTTGCCAAGCCTTTGCCCATGCCTGCAGTGGGCAAATATTACTACAACAAGCCAAGAGAACATTAGTTACACGTAGGTACTAGGAGTTTCTCTTCAGTTAATAAAATGCTTGGTCTTTCAAAACATCAGACGAAAAAGAGACCTCACGACGCTCACATTCCAAAAATCAGGCAGAGCCTCTCCTATCACACACTCTCTTCCTTTCATTATCGAAAACAGAAACATTATTCTCGGATACTCTCAATATTCTAGTCTCATATATGCCTAGATGGAAAATTAAAAGACGATAATGAGCAAATTTAGATATATGTATGGTATAGTATGGAGATGATGGCGACAAACCGAGAGATTCAGAGGTAATGTTCTCTCCATACCTATGTAATACAGTTACTGACTCAGGAACGCCTCATATCCGGCATCATATCACTTCCTGGATGTTAGTTTCGTTGTAATGGGTGGCAGCAGCTCACTTCCAAACAGCATCCATAGCTAGGGAGAGAGAGTGGAGAGCGGAGAGCCATTGAAAAAGGCTCCACCACGGTCTAAATGACTTGGATTATTGATTATTTTATATTCGCTCCTGCAGTTGGCTAGCTTTTCTCATAGGAAATCTGCTTGCCCGTTCGACTGGTTCCAATAACACCCACCGTCACAGCTCATCACTCGCACCAACCACCACTACCCAAATGAGCTACATAAAATACATGCAATTACTACAACAGCTTACAACTCTACTTCTGGATCTTCCATAGCGCCTTCGCCACGTCCTCGACAACCTTTCTCTGCATCAGCTCCTCCCTCCACCTCCTCACGCCCTCCGTCCAAAACAGCGACCCCTCCGTCTCCAGCGCATCCGCATACCACACCCCCGCCAACCCGCCATACACCGCCGCCACCGTATCTGCATCATCCCCCATATTTACCACCTTCACTACCCCCTCCTCAAAGCTCTCCGTCCGAAAAAACACCCACAGCGCCGCCTCCAGCGTATGCAACACATACCCCGACGTCTTCACGCTCTCCACCGGCAACTCCAAAAATCCCGACTCTCTCCCAAGCACCGCTCCCAACTCCTCGTCCTGGAACTCATACCCATACAGCACCTCCAGTAGCTGCGCCTTACTCATCCTCTCCCCGCGCGCTACCGCGCCCAGGATGCTGCCAACTAGCAGCGTGTACACCGCACACGCATCCCGACACATCCCCGCCGGATGCGTCACCTCACTAGTCGCCCTAGCGACCTCAACCGCAACCTCCAGGTCCCGCCAATACACCAGCCCCACCGGCAGCACCCTCATCAGCGAGCCATTGCCCGCCTGAAACCGCCCGCCGAGATTTTCGCGCACCTGCTGCTGCACCGCCGCCATATCCGCCTTGTTGCCCGCGCTCTCCCAGATGTGCAGTGCTGCGCGCGTAGTTGCGCCAATGTCGAAGCAGCGACCGATGGCGGAGAGGTAGCCCGCGCGGTACCATTTCAGGTAGAGCTTTGCCTGGTCTGCCGGTGTTGGGGGCTTGCTGGGCGAGGTGATGGCCCGCGCGAGACAGAGTGTCATGGAGGTGTCGTCGGTCCAGGTGCCCGGGGGGAGGTTGAAGTTGCTGTTGGGCTGCATGGTGCTAATGTGTGGAAAGGTGCCGCGGGGCTGGAACTCGGCGGGCCCGCCGAGGGCGTCGGAGAGGGCGAGGGCGAGGAGGGAGGTTTGGACTTTGGTGGAGAGGGGAGAGAGGGTTAGGAGTTGGTCTGAGAGGGGGGTGGGCGTGGTGGCCATTGTGAGGTATGGTAGTATGGTATGTATCTGGGTATGTTCTTTACTGTTTTGCTTTACTACTGATATGGTACTGGGGAGTAACTAGGACTTTATTGAAGTGGGTATGGCATGGCATAGGTGGGCGGATGGTAGGCCATTTAAGCTTTTATATACGCCCCCCTTTGTCCAGCAGGGCTGCCCACCCATAACAGAGGCCAGAGTTCGGGTGCGAGAAAAGAGATCCCTCAACACAAGCCACAAACCCGGCGCCCCCATCAGATGGGCAGCATCTTTCGGCAGACAAAGGCAAAGGAGTTATCATGAGATCAAGCACAGCCCCTGCGCCCTTGAAAGACATTTGTATGTCTATAGTTACACGAGATCTCGCGCCATACCGCATAGCCACGAAAAGCTTGGTATTCGCTTATCAGGCCCAATTGACTGCTTTGATTTTGTCTCAGCCCCCCCCCCCCCCCCCCCCCCCCAAAAAAAAAAAAAAAAAAAAAATGCTTCAGCTTTGACCCTTGGCGAGGATATGTGAATATAAGTGTCGAGTGATGGGTTGGGTCTGGGCTGCGATTGGGGTGGTGTTGGGGTTGGTGGGTCGGATCTCCAACTACTGGTTTAAGGTGATTGGATTAAGGATTCAGTAGCAAAGATATTGTGCATATTAGCAGTGTAAGCTATTGCCTCCAGTGAGTAACCTGGTGGTTTGATATAGGGTAAAGGACATCATCCGCGCCGCAGATTTATTGATATAACTAGGGCCTAGATACCACAGTAAAGCAGAAAACATAGTCGGTGGGGACACGGAACCATATAAGCCGGCCCTGTACCTAGCTTAATTCCGACGGCCAACTATTCCCTAATTTCATGCTTAGTAGGGGCCCAAAGTAACATAGTGCGGCACGAGATAAAAGACAGCGTGTACATGTAGATAAAACTTCAACCCGAATTCAACTCGTCGGCCTTTCAATGGCCTTTAGGCTACTTACATAGTAGAGACCACACTTTACTGTGAGTAAAAAAAGTAAGAGCTACATAAGTAGCGACCACGAGTGGCATGCTATGAAGGGACGGATACGCCGCCCGCTTGTTATGACGCCTCTCTTTTGTTATTTAGCTGATCCCGAAATGGTCATGGCTGTCTTATCGCAGAGGATGTTTCGTCTCGTGGTATCCTTTCGGGAGCCTTTTTTGGTTTATTGTACATACTAAGTGCAGAGTGCACGAGAAAGACGTAAAACCGATGCCACGGAGAGAATCAAAGAAATAATGCAGCCGCTCCACTCCATCCAGCAGTTAGTAATACCTGTAATCAGTCTTGGCGCCGCCTCATATATCATTTCCAGCCAGAAAAATTCATGGGCGAGTGGTCTAGCGGTTCTCCGCACGACTCGTCTGCTGGACACCGAGAGGTTGTGCCTGGTCTTAAGGTCCATGGTTCAATTCAGTGGTGGGAGTAGTAGATTTCGGTCCGGCGAATCTGCAGTACTTTTTGCTTTGGTTGCGTATCTACAAAAAAATCGGAGGCGTACCCTATTATAGCCCGAGAACCCATACCCTTATAAGAGGTACCCTTATACGGCGATTGTAGTGTATCCACGAAAAAGGAACCCTAGCCCAAAATGGGAATAGGGAAATCGGCGTAAGAGCCATATCCATACCCAAAAAAAATTGAACTGGTTCACAGAAGAGAGGGTGCTGCTAAGGGCGGCCCGAAAGTAGCATATGGAGTTTAAAAGAAGTGGGGGGAGGAATACGAATTTATAGCAACTGGGACCTGCTAAGACGAGTGTAATTTTGGCTGCTGTCAGGATAAGCCAGTCGCCGAGGTTGGAAAAGTAACTGCAATTGAAGGCTTTAGTACTTGGTTCTTGTACTATGTAGTACCATATTACATACGTAGATAAACCAGGAACACAGTTTATTTCATCTGTGGAACCGCGCGATAGATATACATATAACCCGAGTATATTTGACCCTATTGATATTACCCATAACGAAAAAAAAGCCTGTATGCAATACATGTATTAGGAAAAACAAAGAAAAGACTCGCTTCAGCTCTAGTAAATAAATATACATCATGAAAAAAAACGAAAAAAAATACCCGCGTCAAATCTTGGAAACGTGCACCCCGCTTCGTTCATATCCAGAAGCATTGATCAAACCGATAACATGCCGACAGCTTAGAAATAGGAAATGCATAAAACACCAATTGATGAATTCCTATCGTGGTAATGGACGTGATAAAAAAGGAATAATTAGTTGCCCGAAGTTAAACCTCATCACCCAATCAAGAAAGTAGCAAAAGCAATAACACCTCGACCCCAAAGAAATTGACATCCATAATCCTACCCCCACCCATATATATATCAACGCGAAGACAAATTATATTTCTTTTCTCTTGCTCCTTCGGACTTTCTTCGCACTCGCTTCCACCTCAGCTTCCTTGATTGCACTCATCACCGGTGGTTTCCTTGTTCGTTTGGCTTTGGGGGTCACGGGGAGGTTTTCTTTTGAAGGGGGTGACGGTGCATCAGTAGGTGCTGCAGATGCTGCAGATGCTGCAGATGCCTTCTTTTGTCTAGAACTCCGGCGAATGGTGTTGGTGCTACGATCCGTCTCATCGGCCGATAGGTCAACAGAGCCTTGACGGTTGACGACGACTTTTCTATTGCGAAGAGTGATGATGTCCATATCACCCGTGGCCTCTGGCTCGACGGAATTTCCCCTGATGGAGGGGGTTCTCTTGGCTCTGGAGAGTCTTATCGGCGGTTGCTCCTCGGGTTCAACGGAAAGTTCCTTAACAGAAGGTGTCTTCCTAGCCCTAGTTGCTCTTATTGGTCGCTCCTCAAACGAGATCAAAGGCTCGACTGAGGCTGAGCGTCCCCGACGGGGAGCAATAGGGGCAGCTGCCTTCTTCGTCTTTGGGAGAGATTCAAGTTCCTCCTCCACCATCTTCTCCTCCACCCTGTCCTTCTCTTCCTCCACCTCGGGCTCAGCGACTTCAGGTTCGAGAGAGGTTTCTCTGACAGAGACTGCCTTTTTGGCAGCTGATCTTGTCGTTTTGGCTGCCTGCTTTGTCGGTTCAACTGAGGCTTCACGTGCCCTTTTTCTAGTCCTCTTTGGCTGTGAAGAAGGCTCAACGACCTTCCCATCCCTCAACTCCTTCCCGAGTGAGATGTCAACTTCTTCAGGTTGGATAGCGGGAACTTCACTTCCATCGGGCAACTCAACAGTTTCCTTTGGTGGAATATCAGGATCGAGTGCGGTGGCAACGGCAGTTTCAACGGTCTTGAGCTCGTCTTCCAACTTCTCGCCCTCGAGATATGGTTCCTTGTCCTCTTTTTTTGTGCTGCCTGCTGAAGTTTTCTTGCGAGTGGTACGGCGTTTTTTGACCTCCGGCTCTTTGACTTCCATGTCCTCTTCGTGTTCGCTTTCGTCTTGTGGGACAAAGTTGGTATCACCTTTACGCTTCTTCGCAGCAGTACGCTTTGATGCACGTACTGCGCGTCCCTTTTTGGGTTTAGGTATAGGAGAGTGAGCGAGTTCGTCGACCATTTCAACATCTTGGTGTTCTTCTGGAGTAATGATATCTGATGTCTTTCCCGTCCTTTTCCTCTTTTTGTTGATCGCCTCCGACGGCGGAGGAGTTGCGGTTGTTTCACGCTCTGAGGCTGATGTGTTTTCTCCCACCTCATAATCTCCTGTGACCTTAGCAGGCTCTCGTTCTTGAGCTTCCCCCGCGCTATGCTCTTCATCATCTTCCAGTACTAGAGCTACATCATCCTCGCCAAGACCAAGGTCTACCGTAACATTCGCCTCTTCCTCGATACTCTCCTCGTCAAGAACAATCTCGACGTCAGCCCCAGTACCCGTTGCAGTAACCTCATCCGCCGCCTGTGCGGGCATTGAAGAGGGCGGTGTGAAGCCAAAGAGTGGCGTTGCTGGCAACATCTCAACTGGTACAGTTTCTGATGGAGCCGCAGACGGTGGCTTGAACCCATATAACGGTGCTGTTGCCAATTTCTCACCGACAGCTGGCACCGAAGAAGTGGTGGGAGGCTTGAACCCAAACGGCGGCGCGGATGCCAACTTCTCTCCACCAGCAGAAGACGAAGAAGTGGTAGGTGGATTAAACCCAAATGATGGCTTGCTTGCCAGCGCAGGGTATTCGACCTTCTCTATAGCAGACTCAGTTGACACTTCTGCGTTCATGGCAATAGGTGGCTGGAAAGCAAATAACGGCGCAGTCGCTAGCCTTTCTCCAGATGATTCCGATGGAGTGGAGCTAGGTGGCTGGAACCCAAACAATGGTGCGGTCGGCAACCTATCACCGCCTGTTGGAATCGAAGAAGTGGTGGGTGGCTTGAACCCAAACGGCGGCGCAGATGCCAACTTCTCTCCACCAGCAGAAGACGAAGAAGTGGTAGATGGATTAAACCCGAATGACGGCTTGCTTGCCAGCGCAGGGTATTCAACCTTCTCAGCCGATACGTTCATGGCGGTAGGCGGCCGGAAAGCAAATAACGGCGCAGTCGCTAGCATCCCCCCAGATGATTCCGATGGAGTGGAGCTAGGTGGCTGGAACCCAAACAATGGTGTGGTCGGCAACTGATCGCCCGGGGGTTGAGTAGAAATGGTGGATGTATTCAAGCCAAAGAGTGGTACTGCAGGTAACCTTTCTGCTGATGATGTCTCGGATGGGGAAGAGGTTGGCGGGGTGAATGAGTATAACGGAGCCGTTGCCAGCCTTTCTCCAGCTGTTTCCGATGTGGCAATAGATGGTGGTTTAAACCCAAACGGAGGAGCAGTCGCCAACTTCGTATCAAATGACGAAGGTGCAGTAGGTGGCATAGATCCGAACATCGGTTGGTTTGGAATCTTGGGGTATGGATTCATGATCTCATCTCCCTCTTCAGGGTCATCAACATCTGTTTTCTCTTCCTCTTCAGGCTGCTCTTCCCCTACACTCTCATCCACCGGCGCCTCTTCTTCGACAGCTCCTTCCTCTTCCATCTCACTCCCGCTATCCTCGTCCTCCTCTCTGATGCTGTATTTATGGTAGCTCTCCCTCTTATCACCTTGCTGCCACTCGATAATCTGTTCTTCGACAGTGCCTTCTCTGAAATCTCTAACCATAGAAGAACTATCATAGAATGAATCAGGAAGGAGAGTAGGGGAAGGTTCACCCTCGCCCTCGTCCTCGCTCTCATCAGCTTCACCACCATCGCGCTCGACGATAGCGATACTTTCAGAGTGAATCGAAACCTCTTCAACACAAGTCTGCATTGTTGTGTCAGCTTCGTCCTCCCCTTCAGCACAAGTCTGCATTGTTGTATCAGCTTCTTCGTCATCCTCATTTTCGGGTCCGGCTTCAATTTTAGTAATTTCAACTTCTAATTCAACAGTGAGCTCAACTTCGGCAATTGGGGATGCTGGCGATGATTCTTCCTCTTTTTCGGAGGTCGTGGCTGGGGCTTGGGTCGTTTCTAATAAAGCTGGGTCTACCAAAGGCTCTTCGATCTTTTCGTCTAGCTCGGCCTTGTTCTCCGAGATTTGGCCTACTGGCGTCTCATCTTCATCTGACTGAGGCTCGGGAGTAGCTTCCTTGACAATAAGGCCTCCATCCTTATTAAGTCTCAAACTTCTCGATAATTCATCGTTGCTCATCATGCGATATGAAGTTTTCGGGGTTGAAGGTTGTTCCTTTCCGTGGTGGAAGAAAGAATCTTCTTCTTCCTTGGCGGGAGTGAAAACAACTTCTCTAGAAGCGGAAACAGGATTATTTTCGTGTTCATGATGGAGATCAACACCAACGTTTTCCTCTTCCTCAATCAGAGGCTCATCACTAGCAACTGACCTGGGTTCAGGCTCAACAACATCCGGGAGAGCTTCTTGCTTCTCGAGCTCTGTGTCGTCCTCGGCCTCGGCGTCTTCATCTTCCTCTTCAAGAGCCCTCTTGAAATCTGCCTCAATCTCGTTATCACCCTCTTCTTCGTTTTCCTCTTCTTCATCCACATAGTCAGGATCGTCATTTCTTGGTTTCCCGTTCAACTCTGAATTGGTCAACGCCCTGGTACCCTGCTCCGGATCTTCCTGGAATCCGTGGAAGACACCTTCTGCACTGATGAACCCAATGGCCTTGTCATCTGTATCAGCAAAGAAATGGCCGCTGTCGTCACATTTCCCAATGTGTTTATCGTATCGGTTAAACACATCAGCATCTTCATTTATGTAGATACCCGGGTTTTCCACCACCGAGGGCTCTTCGTTGTCTGAAACCAATTGGAGAGAGTCTGGTTGTGGTTCAACATCCTTGGCATCATGCTGCAATTCCCCGTCGGAGGCATCATCATCAATGATAACAATACCCGCTGGACTGGTTGGAGTGGGGGTGGTGGAACGAGATGAGGAGAGTTGATCAGCGTCCTGCTCCTGATGTGGAGAAACCAGAGTTGGATCCGAATCTTGTGCAGGTGAGCTGACAATAGCTTCTAGGACTATATTCCCCTGACCCTCACTCTGGGGTTTGGTCAGCGTGGATGAATGTTGGCTAGACCTATCAACCACGACGGTTGAGTCCAAACTGTGATCCGCGTCGCCTTCTACTACTGAAGTCTCGTTTCCATAGCCCTCATGATCGGTTTCATCCCTTTCGGTCTCTTCCTCGATGTAGCTCGGCTCCTTTTCTTCTTCCTCGTCGTCGCCGGAGTCCGCTGGCTCGGCTCCAAATTGCTCGATGATTTCCTCGGCTTCGTCGTCTTCAAGAAATTGCCTTGACTTATAGGCCGAGCTTGGTGCAATTTCCTCACCTTCTTCATCCTCTTCATCATAATCTGCAGTTTCTTCCTCGTCGTATTCCTCATACTCATCCTCTTCAATCCCTTCACCCTCAGGATCTTCGCTACCGGGAAGTTTTCGGGGATGATTGAATAAAAATTTAGGTGCAGGGCTATCCAAGCTTGGTTAGATAAAATACATTTTGAGAAATGATTTGAGGGAAAATACTTCATGTTTACAGTTTCATCTTCGTCTTCGTCTTCGTCTTCGTCTTCATCTTCATCGTCCTCCTCCTCTCCCTCATCTTCTTCTGCCTCTTGTATAATTTCTTCACCTTCGCCCTCATCGGACGAGGAATCGATACAAATCACTTCTGTAGGTTTGGACTTAGGTCTGTCCTTAACAACCGGTCTCTTCTGTATCTCCTCCTCTTCCTCCTCTTCCTCCTCTTCCTCACTTTCCTCACTTTCCTCAGAAGATGCCTCACGGCCACCGTGATTAATATTTTGGGCCTGGGAGGTAGATTGCTCCAACAGGTCCTTAAACCTCACAATGGGTGACGATGCGATAATGGAGGGATTTTGATTTTGGGTCGACTCTTCCTCCACAAAAGTAGCTTCATGGAACCCATTCGGCGTGTAATCCACTGGATCAAGAATTGTATCTTCGGTCACAAATGATGGAGCGCCATCTGCATACCAGTCCCTCTCCATATTTTTACCTTTGTCTTCCGTTTCACGAATTTGTTCTCTCTCTTCGCGTTCTCTCTCTTCGCGTTCTCTCTCTTCGCGTTCTCTCTCTTCCCTTTCATTTTTTTCACGTTGTATTTCCGCTTTGAATATTTCATCCCTTTTGATTCTTTGTTCTTCCTCAATCCTCTTCCGAATAGCTTCCTTTTCCTTCTCTTTCCGCTCTTCATTACGATCGGCGCGGTTTCCAGCGAGTGCTTGTTTAGCTTTCTCGATTGAACTAGCGAGGAAATTTATAATGCCATCAGCTCGAACAGCAGTCTCCCCGGAAGAAGATTTAGACACCAGACGCGATTCGGGCGCACTTGGACTAGAAGCAGCAGGGCTTTGTGCACTAGTGCCAAAAAACGGTAAATGTAATGTGCTCGTATTTCCCCCAAAATGATACATCGAGGGCGAGCCTGGAGGCCTTGGGGATGGCTTTCGTTCAGATCTAAAATTGGGTTTATGAATTCTACGCGCAGGAGTGGGGGTCTGCACTGCTGTAGCTGAAGAGGTTGCTACACGCGATCCATTGACCGAGTTTGCCAAGCCTTTAGATGGTGGGTTTTCAGATGGTGACATCGCTACGGGCACGGCAGGATCAGCTTTAGCAGTAGATCGAGCTGCTGCCTCTGCCTGCTGTTTCCGCAGCTGTGTAAGAAACCTAAAACTAGACTCTGTTGGCTTTCTGTTCCGCATCGAGCGTGCTGCAAAGGGCGATTGCAAGGGCTTTGGAGCAAATGAACGAGGTTCTAGGAGCTTCGTCCTATTTCCGCCCACGGTGTTTGGAGCGCCCATGTCCGGTGCTGCAGTACGGGGTTGACCAGGAGTAATTGGTGCATTCATACGCAAACGCGGAGCGGTAGAAGGAATTCCTCCTTCGGCTGACGACGAAGATGTAAATGACAAATTCTGTGACTTGTCGAACATATTGCTCCGGGCATTCTGCGGAACAGGTGTGTGAACTACGGTTGTGCGGCGTCTTTTTACGGGGGTTGTAAAGTTTGTCGACTCCGCCGGATGCTTTCGTGATATTGAATTTGAGAAGTCCATGGTTTTTATTTATTGTGGTTGGAAATCCCAACCGCTCTGATTTCCTTTAAGTGTTTGGAATGGTGTGACGTTGTCAAACGTCAATCACGTAAGGCCACCAGTTGGGATGGAGGATTCGTGATGAGCAATGCAGACGGATACTGTGACACTCCTCTCTATAAACCCAGGGTCTATGTGGCTGCTGGCAAACTGGAATGTGTACTTTTGTGGTGTGTTTATTTATTAGGGAGGAGATTCCAGAGACGCGGCAAGTTTCCTTGAAAAGTGAAGAACCGCGGCAAGGGTTGTCGTTAAAGCAGGGAAATCGTTACCCGGACGCGCCACCTTACTTGGCTGGTACGTGACGATACAATTAAAAGCAGTAGACCTAGCTTTGTTGTAATTGATCAAGATCCGGGGGAAAGAAAGATGAGAAATATGTGCGGGGAAAGGGACGATAAATGAGTTAGGGGTAGGCGGAGGAGAAGAAAGGCGGTGAAAAATGAATAGGGAGACCCAAATGGGAAACAAAGAGCTTCGTCTTATGGGAACCAATTAATCCATTGAAGTCCCATCCATTCTACGTAACCAGGTTCCTCATCCATCACCACCCACACACTCTGGTATCCAATGTTTTCCCATTCTAGGCATTCTTCCAGAATAGACCTGGTCGATCTTTGCCTTACTCACAAGCAGTTAGCCGAAACACGTCTTTTTCAAGACAGGCGAGATGCAGAGTTTCCTAAGAAGACAGCTGTCTGCATGCCAGTAAGGCCAGTTCTTTGTTCCTGCAGCCACATTCCTCTCGAGTCGGCTTTCCCCCCTTCCCGCCTTACATTTATGCTCAAATTCTCGTGAAAGTTTTGATCCCCTTGATTGTGGATCGTCTCAGACGGAAATGTACATGAGTTTAATCGTTTTTACGAAGGGTTTCAACTCTACGCTAACTCAGAATCTTGTTACGGACATGGTAAATGCAGCGCAGCAGTCGAGTGGCTTGGTGACAGCTCATATCTACATGATCTTACAGTGTAGATACCCTAGTTTGGTACATGCACAACGTATGTAGGTATTGATGAAGCCCTATTCTACGGGCCATGTGGTAAAAAATTCTCTACACATAGATATAGGTAGGACAGGTATGGGGGTGACTTCTTTGCCATAAGATGCCAAGACATTGAACCGCTTTCAGAATGGTGAAGCCAAGCCAAAATTTCATTTCTCCACAAGCTCAACCGTTGCAGCATCCAATTGAATATCCCCCAGTCACCCCTCGCAACACCCCACTACTACCCGCCTAACATAACTCCATCAACCTACAATCCATCAATTCCTAAATCACAGAAATATCAAAATGGATATTCGCGTTTTACAGCCATCCGACATTCCCCACGTGCAGCTAGCAAACATCACAAACCTACCCGAAAACTACTTCCTCAAATACTACCTCTACCATGCTCTTTCATGGCCGCAACTATCTTACGTAGCGGTTGACCTTTCGTACGCCGACAACCATCCTGGGGAACCGCCAAAGATTGTAGGCTATGTGCTTGCTAAGATGGAGGAAGAGCCAACAGATGGTGTGCAGCATGGGCACATTACTAGTTTAAGTGTCATGCGCACCCACCGGCGGTTGGGGCTGGCGGAAAAGTTGATGAGGCAGAGTCGTAAGTTCAAATATATCCGTGAAAAGTCTTATGGGGTGATAGGCACTCATGTAGAACTACGCCCGATAGAGAAAGCCATGGTCGAAGCCTTCGGCGCGAAATATGTATCCCTCCACGTCCGTGTCTCCAACAAGGCCGCGCTCCACCTCTACCGCGATACGCTCCAGTTCGAGGTCGACAAAGTAGAAGAAAAATACTATGCAGACGGCGAAAACGCATACTCCATGCGAAAAGACCTTACTTTCCTTGAAGAGCCCGAGAGTGAGAGCGAGGATGAGGACGAGGCCGCTGGCGAGGATGTCGACATTGATGGCGACGTCCCGAAAGAAAAGAAGACAAAGAAGAAGAGGAACGTCAAGGTTGGACGAGGCCTGGGTGTAGCGGATTTACAAGAAGTAGACGGGAGGGCTTAAAGCCTTTGAAATGTGAAAATAAGGAGAGGATAGGAATAAAAGCACTGCTTTCTCTGGCGTTCTTTGGATCACGACTGTTTATGAACCGGACGGCTGGATAGATGTTGGGGATATACAGTCGACTTCCGTTAGAGAGCCAGGAGCCTAATCACACTATAGACGGTGCAGCAAATATTATCACTCTACCCCCAGATTGCCTCCTAAAATATCTGTAAGAATGATAATGAAACATTCCTTACTATTTTGGTTAGCGACAATAATTATAACCTTTTCCAGCATGAGATAACAACCAAAGCATTTCCAGCAAGTTAGTTTTCCGAGTGATGGATCATGATTACATTACGCAAACATAAATTACCGTTATTAGAAGGTTTTGATATTAGGACTCTATTAGTATATATATCAACCTTACGGTTCTAACCCTACGAGCCTTATATATATAGTGACATCGCACATGATTATGAAATTAGGTATGGGTTAACTATAGGGTAAGGGTTAACGTTACGTCGAGTCATGTACACAGCTAGTCACTCTTCATCCCCTGTAAACAAAACGTACCAGGAATACCTTTCTTAGAAGAAAAAAAAACATCAAGTGGCAGTTGTTTTCCCCGAAAAAAGACTTGCCGTCCTCCGTTATGAGCGCTGCTCTAGCGATATGACAAGATTGATCATATCTACATGCAGTGATTAGTATACTACCAGAGCCAAACTATGCAGCTCGCTCCCATTAGGCCATTCAACTCCATGTACGTTTACACTATTTTTGATAGCTTTTTCCAAACTCGGGTACACGAAATCAGGACCGGATTCAAACTTGGTACCTTCTAGCAAGCCTTTGCTGTAGTATTTATACGTATTGTGGTGTAACCAATATTATTGATCTGTGAGAACCATATGTATAATTACGCACATCTTAAAAAATGGCTTAACCAGGCCAAATGAATTGTATGAGGGCTACATGTACTCTACATGTAGTTTTGTGGAAGCGGAGCTATGGAAAAAGGCTCTACAACTACATAGGTGTGTCAACTCATGCATGCGGCGGTGCAATCAAATTGCGCGACGCGATGGTGATTAATTATTTCGACAGCGCTATAATTATTAGATATGAAGTATGCTACGTATTAGTCTCGTACCCATCCCCTACTTAGCAGCAAGCTGGAAGCATGGAATTAGAGGAGTTGGGGACGAGCCTAGCTACGTATATATGTACTTACATATGTGTTAGATATACGTAAGTGCATCTGTACTTCTTGTGAATACATCAATTGATTCTCTTCTTTGTTGAATTTCATGTAATGCTCATATGCATACGTTACTTGTATCATCACATATATGGATCAGGATGTAGATCAGTACATATATCCACGTGTATACATGTACGTATATGGATATTCTATCTTCGCGCGCCTATAGAGACTCTACATGTAGCTATAGGCATGTAGCTACAAGTATCTGGGTTTTACACGGTATTGGGGTGTTTGGATTATATTTAATATCCTTTTTTCTATTAAATATATAACACAGCGAACCAAGTACCATCGGTGTCTGCTGAGGAATTAAGAGATCCCTTCGCTATAAGTATTAATCTTCGCGCATCGCCGAATCCTATCTTTCGTCATCATATATTATCACTCGATATTACTTCACTTAACTTGGCTTCCGTTAGAATTCCGGCAAACTGGAGGGGCTCCGAAAAGTTGTAGACGGATGATGGGTTATAAAGGTATTGGAACTTTGCCGTCTGGTTTGAAAGAAGTACGAAGCTGCTGATCTCTGGTGGGTGAAACGAGCGCCAGTCGTGAACATGTACAACCCAAGTTCACGTCATGCAAGCTAGGGTTGAATTTAAAACAGACGAAGGACGATCATTGAGATAAGCTGTGCCATTCATCTACCGTACTAGTATTTTAGGCCGTTCCGAACCCCGAAAGCCAATAAAAAGCATGGATGATATGGTTCCGTGTTCATTACGCGTGGCGCCTTCTTTTTATTTCTTGTGTGGGTCGGAAAATTTCCTTCCCGCCGTGGGGTTTATTTGGTTCCTTTTTTTATACGTAAAGACTCTTATCCATAGGATATACATACATGATGTGTTTCAACGGCTAATAAAATAGTAGGTGCATTAAAAATGATCCCCGAGATTGTGAGACTGCGTTGTCTCACATGTCTATTCTACATTTCCCCCCCAGTAGAGTATGTACTATGATATATGTAGTACAATATAGGTACTCTAGAGTGGAGGTTATGTGGCGTTTTTAAGGATGGTAAAGGTTCTATGAATCCACCTGGTTTCTATGTAGAAGTTCTTTCGACCGGGTGTGGGGGAAAGGCTGATGATATTCCTGCCTGTGCGTAGTTTGTGTTGCCTCCGGCCAGGCGATGACGCTGTGAAGCCAGTTGGCCTGCACTCTTATCGCCTTAGACGTCGCGACGGAGTGACGACGACGTTGACGGGTGATACTGGCCTATTTGGTAACCCCAAGCCCGAGCCGAAACCTTCTATAGAGTACGTAGCTTATGTACCCTCTAAGGTGCTTACTTTGGAGATTTGCAAAAGTGTAGCGCGCAGGGTCTGAAACTCCAAAATTGAGGATTCTAAAGCTGTCCGACCCCGCTGATTTTAAAGTGGACGTTCAGAGCTTGAGGCGTTGACGGTTGCACAAGAAGTCTACAGTAAAGATGTGGGGTGGTTGCTAGCCGCCAAGCAAATGAAGCAAGTCTTCGGATGAAGGCTCCAAGAACTGCAGTTGAGTGCATCACAGGTTCAAATTTCGGTAAACAATTTCTGCAGGACCCTGTGGTGGCCCCGAAGATCTGGGGAACATATTAACTAGTCTATGCATCGTCTTTAATAAGAACTGGGGCTCATTGAACGTCCGCAGAAACGAGATAACTATGAGAGATTTAGCTGAATTATTTATATACATACTTTAAAG